GACTTGAAGGGGAAAATGAAGCTATATAATGTGGCATTTTCCCCAAGATTATAACCTACTGGATGCATTTTTATAAGGGATATGACAATTTTGTTTGGCGAAGAATACCTAGAATATAATATTTGAGAGAATCAGACTTCCCAAATTTTCTGGCTCATCCAAGACCCAATGTTTTATTTATTCATTTAATCATTTTTTCAGCAATTTAAAAAATTGATGGATAATAGGTTACATAGTTTCAGGGTACACATGATAAGACATTCGTATAATTTGTAAACATCAAATCGGTGTACTTGGGATATCAATCACCTTAAATATTTGCCTTTATTCTAGAAACATTTGAATTTTTCTCTTCTATTTTGAAATATATAGTATGTTTTCGTAAACTATAATCACCCTACTTACCTATTGAACACTGGAGCTTACTTCATCTATCAACTTTATATTTGTTTCCATTTGTCAACTTCTTTTAATCTCCCACTCCTGCTACCCTTGCTGGCTTCTGGTAACCACCAATCTACTCTCTACCTTCATGAGATCCACTTTTTCTTAGTGTCCACGTATGAGTGAGAACATGTGATATTTGTCTCTTCGTGCTTGGTTTATTTCACTTAACATAATGACTTCTAGTTTTATCTATGTTGCTGCAAATGACAGGATTTTATTCTTTTCTACGGATGAATAATATTTCATTGTGTATATATACCATGTTTAGCCATTCATTCGTTGACTAATGAATAGTGCTGCGATAAATGTGGGCATGCAGATCTCTCTTTGATATATTCATTTCCTTTCTTCTGGAGATATATCCAGTAGCGGGATTGCTGGATCATACGGTATGATCATTCAATTTTTAATTTCTTGAGGAACTTCTAAACTGATCTCTGTAGTAGCTGTACTAATTTACGTTCCCACCAATGGTATACAAGCGTTCCCTTCCTTTCATATTCTTGCTAGCCTCCCTTATTGCCTGTCTTCTTGGTAAAAAGCCATTTTAACTGGGGCAAGATGATATCTCATTGTGGTTTTGATTTGCATTTCTCTGATAATTTGTGATGTTGAACATTTTTTTATGTGCCTGTTGCCCATTTGTATGCCTTCTTTTGAGAAATGTCTACTCAGCTCTTTTGCCCATTTTTTTTTTCTCTTTTGAGACAGAGTCATGCTCTGTTGCCCAGGCTGAAGAGCAATGGCACGATCTTGGCTCACCACACCCTCTGCCTCCCAGGTTCAAGAGATTCTCTTGCCTCAGCCTCCTGAGTAGCTGGGATTATAGGTGTATGCCACCATGTCTGGCTAATTTTTATATTTTTAGTAAAGATGGGGTTTCACCGTATTGGCTAGGCTGGTCTCGAACTCCTCACCTCAGATGATCCTCCTGCCTTGACCTCCCAAAGTGCTAGGATTACAGGTATGAGCCACTATGCCTGGCCTCTTTTTGCCCATTTTTAAATTGGATTATGTGTGTTGTGTTTTTCTTTTTTCTTTTTTGCTATTGAGTTGTTTGAACTCCTTATACATTCTGGTTATTAACCCCTTCTCAGGTGGCTAGTTTTCAAATATTTTCTGCCATTCTGTAGGTTTTATCCTCACTTTGTTGATTATTTCCTTTGCTATGCAGAAGTTTTTAGTTTGATATAATGCCGTTTGTCTATTTTTACTTTGTTTGCTTATGCTTTTGGGATTTGACATAAAAATATCTTTACCCAGACCAATATTTGGAGTCATTCTTCAATATTTTCTTCTAGTAGTTTCATGGTTTGAGATCTTAGATTTAATTTTCAATTAATTTTGATTTGATTTTTGTATATGGTAAGAGAGAAGGATCTAGTTTCATTCTTCTGCATATAGTTACCTAGTTTCCTTGCACCGTTTATTGAAAAGTCTATGGTTTCCCCCATTATATGTTCTTGGTACCTTTGTTGAGGATGAGTTGGCTGTAAATGTGTGGACTTACATCTGGGTTCTCTGTTGTGTTCAGTTGGTCTGTGTGTCTGTTTTTACGTTAGTATCATACTGGTTTGGTTACTATAACTTTGTTGTAAAATTTGAAGTCAGGTAGTATAATGCCTCTAGCTTTGTTCCTTTTGCTCAGGATTACTTTGGTTATTTGGGGTCTTTTGTGGTTCCATAGACGTTTTAAGATTTTTTTTTCAATTTCTGTAAAGAATGTAATTGGATTGCATTTAATCTGTAAATTGCTTTGAGTAGTATTATAATTTTAACAATATTAATTTTAACAATATTCTTTAAATTCATGAACCTGGAATATCTTTCCATTTTGCATGTCCTTTTCAATTTCTTTCCCGATATTTTAGTATGGTATTTCTTTATCTCTTTGCTTTTGTCTTCACAAATTTTAGCTTAGGCTGCAGAATTTTTTTTTTTCCCATTTATTTATTTTATTGCTTTTTAGGTTTTGGGGTACATGTGAAGAACATGCAAAATTGTTGCATAGGAACATACGTGGCAGTGTGATTTGCTGCCTTCCTCCCCATCACCTACTTCTGGCATTTCTCCCGTAGGCTGCAGAATTTGGCTTTTTCAAATTCTGACTCCCAGCCCTCAAGGATTGCAAGGTATAAGTATGAAGATTTTTCTAAAAAAAATGAAGTTTCATTATTCCCTCTCTGCTTTTAGATAGTATAGCTTGGACTGAACTTGTCCTTTTCTCATAGAATATTATTTGAGGCCACAAGTGATGTTCAATAACTTGCTATTTTCTTGGGACTGAGTCCAAAGATTTAGCAAACCATTGGATAGGGATAGCCAGTTGCATTGCTACTGTGTAACAAAAATTTTCAAATAATTATTTAGGAATGGGAATAATTATCTCCTCTCTGTTTTGCACCTTATATTATCTCAGCTATTTTCATACATTAGGATCTGTTACTTAAATTATCTCATTCTCAGGTATAAATTGCTCAGGGATTTTTCAGTTGCAGATGACAGAAACCAAACTCAAAACTGCTTTAACAAAATTATAGTAGGTGGTGGGGAGTGAACATGTGTATTTCAGAGAAGGGGAAGGTTATTTCCACTTCTACAAGTACATGCTAGATTGGGCACTGATGGACAGAATCATCAGTTTATTAGTGAAGCATAATGTGTGTTGAACAAGACAAGCTAGGTCAAGCATTTGAAGATGCGTTTGAGGTACTGAGGCAACAATTAACTGGAGATCTTCAAAATTACCTGGTTTTTCATCAGTGATTGTCCCCATGTCAGAGGGGATTCCAACTGCTACGGAGTGTTGCTTACAGAGGAACCTATCTATAATTGAAGAACTTTAATAAATAATGCTGCAGACTGCTATTTTGAAGGAACTATACATTCATCTTTGTGGAACATAACTGAAAGCCAGCTGGTCTGCTGTTTTCCAGCAAGAGGGAGGACAAGGCAGGAAGATGCTCTGACTGTTTGAATAACTTCACAAATCTTGGGGTAATCCCAAGATGGCCTCTGCATTCAGTAAGTAAATAAAACCAAAAGGAGTTTCCAGTTTGTATCAAAAAAACAAAGAAAAACTTGCCAAACTTTGAGGAATAAGAAAGGGCAACAGGAAGACCATGATATATCAGAAAATGGCCAGGAAACTGAGGAATTATGGAAGAACTGGGGAAATCATTAAAATCTGGAGAAAGCTTATTTACCAATGAGCTTCAGTAAGGCCATTCTCTGAAGATCTTTCCATCTTGTTTCTTGGAGAAAGAGATCGTCTACTCACAGTATGTTCAACTTCATCAAGAACATCTCAGTTTAAATAATTGGAATGCAAACTAAAATTATACCTATGCCAGTTACCATGAGCTTAGTCACCCTGATTGCTAAATATACTCTCCCATTTCATCATTATTTTTGGCATTAGAAATCCCTACAAGATTCAGGATTTTTCTCTTAAAGCAAATACTGAAGATAAAAATTAGCTTCATTGCTGCTATCTTTTATCAAATAGCACATAATTTATACAGACTTGGTGGGAAATTCTGCCAGTGAACAACTTTATTATTTCAAATCAACTTCCATTTGAAAGTATGAACTAAAAATGCGCTTGCTCTATTATCTATGCAACCACTTTCTTCTAGATTAACAATGCCAGTGCAGACAATTTGATTTATGTATTGATTTAAACATTTTGCTGTCTTACACTTAGGTGAAAAATCACTTGGCTATATATCTGATGGCTTTACAAAAAATTATTTACAAAAAATAATTGCATATAATGCAGTGTTTGTGCCAAAGTATATTTATGCCATAAAAACTTTAGTGGAAATGTCTGTTCAGGTCCCTTGTTCATTTTCTAATTGGGCTTCTTGTTTTCTTGATATCGAGTTGTTTGAGCTCTTTATGTATTTTGGATGTTAATCTCTTGCCAGATGTATGGCTTGCAGCTGTTTTCTCCCAATCTGTGAGTTGCTCCTGCACACTGTTGTTGTTTCATTGGCTGTGCAGAAGTTTTTTAGTGTGATGTAATCTCATTTGTCTATTTTTGCTTTTTGCCTACTTTGTTGACTGTGCTTTTTGGGGTCAAATACAAAAAATCATTGTCCAGGGAGTGTCATATAGTTTTCCTCCTCTATATTTTCTTCCAGTAAGTTTAGAGTTTCAGGTACAGTATTACATTTGAATCTTTAATCCATTTTGAGTTGATTTTTAGTTGTGTACATGGTGTGAGATAAGGGTCCAATTTTATTCTTCTGTAGGTAGTAATTTAGTTTTCCCAACACTATTTATTGAAGAGACTGTCCTTTTCCTATTGCATATTCTTGTGCCTTTGTTGAAAATCAATCGACTGTACATGAATAGGTTCATTTCCATGCTCTCTATTCCACTCCATTGGTCAATGGGTCTGTTTGTTTTTCCATGCTGTTTTTGTTGCTATAGCTTTCTAGTATAGTTTGAAATCTGGTGGTGTGATAACTCCAGCTTTGTTCTTTTTGTTCATGATTGCCTTGCTTGTTTGGAGTTTTTATGGTTCCATATGAATTTTTGTTTTTCAGATGGAGTCTAATTCTATGGCCTAGGTTGGAGTGTAAATGGTGTGATCAGGGCTCACTGCAAACTTCACCTCCTGGCTTCAAGTGATTCTCGTGCCTCAGCCTCCCAAGTAGCTGGGATTACAGGTGAGTGTCACCATGCCTGGCTGATTTTTGTATTTTTAGCAGAGATGGGGTTTCACCATGTGGGCCAGGCTGGTCTGAAACTTCTGACCACAGGTGATCCTCCCACCTCAGCCTCCCAAAGGGCTGGGATTACAGGCATGAGCCACTCATCCAGCCCCATATGAAGTTTTGGATTATTTTTATTTCTATGAAAAGTGATATTGGGATTTTCATAGGGATTGCATTGAATTTGTAGATCACTTTGGGTAGTATAGACATTTTAGCAATACTCGTTCTTCATTAACATGAAATATCTTTCCATTTACTTTTGTCTTGAATGTTTATTTCATCAATATTTTATAGTTTTCATTGTGTAAGTCTTTTGTCTGCTTGGTTAAATCTGCTCTTGGGTAATTTATTTTTTGTAGTTACTGTGTGATTTGTTGATTTCTTTTTGGGTAGTTTGTTGTTGGTGTATAGAAATGCTACTGATTTTTGTGTGTTGGTTTTATATCCTGCAACTTTATTGTATTTGTTTATTAGTTTTAACAATTTTTTGATAAGACTTTCCATGTATAAGATCATGTTATTGGCAAACAGTGAAAATTCCACTTTTTCCTTTTAATAAAAGACCTTCACTATTTAGCTTTTTATTTCTTTTTCTTGCCTAATTGCTCTGTCTAGGACTTCCAATTCTATGTTGAGTGGAAATGGCGAGAGTGGGCATCCTTGTCTTATTCCAGATCTTGGAGGAAAGGCTTTCAGTTATTCACTGCTGAGTCACAGTTAGCTGTGAGCATCTCTGGATAGCTTTTATTGTTGAAGTATCTTTCTTCTATACTTAATTTGGTGATTTTTTTTTTTTAATCATTAATGGATGTTGAATTTTGTCAAATCTTTTTCTGCTTTTGATGAGATGATCATATGATTTTTGTCATTTATTCTGTTAATGTGGCGTATCATTTATTGACTTGCATATGTTGAACTCTCCTTGCATTCCAGGGATAGAGACATTTCTGAAAAAAATGACATATAAATGGCCAACAGGTATAATGAAAAATATTCAATATTGCTAATCATTAGGGAAATGCAAATTAAAGCCATAATGAAATATAATCTCACACTGGTCAGAATGGCTTTTATCAAAAATAGGAAAGATAAATGTTGTCAAGAATGTGGAGAAAAAGGAACCTTGTACAGTGTTGGTGGGAATGAAAATTACTGTAGTCAATATGGAAAACAGTATGGAGGTTCCTCAAAAAACTAAAAATAAAATTACCACGTGATCTTGAAATTCCGTGTCTGGGTATTTACCCAAAAGGTTTAAAATCAGTTTGTTGAAGAGATGTCTGCACCCCCATGTTCACTGCGGCACTATTCACAATAGCAAGTTACAGAATCAACTTAAGTGTGCATCAACAAATGAGTGGATAAAGACAATGTTGCATACTTAAACAATGGAATACTATTCAGCCTTAAAAAAGAAATTATTGGCCAGGCATGGTGGCTCCCACCTATAATTCAGTACTTTGGGAGGCCGAGGTGGGTGGATCACTTTGAGGTCAGGAGTTTGAGACCAGCCTGGCCAACATGGTAAAACCCTCTCGCTACTAAAAATACAAAATTAGCTGACCATGGTGGCAGGCACCTGTAATCCCAGCTACTTGGGAGGCTGAGGCAGGAGAATTGCTTGAACCTGGGAGGCAGAGGTTGCAGTGAGCTGAGATCGCGCCACTGCACTCCAGCCTGGGTGACAGTGAGACTCGGTCTGAAAAAAACCCAGAACAAATCAACAACAGAAAAGTAAGACATTCTGACATTTGTGACAACATAGATGGAATTAGAGAATATTATGCTAAGTGAATTAAGTCAGGTTCAGGAAGGCAAGAACTGCATATTCTCACATATATGTGAAGTCTAAAACAAACCCATAGAAGCAGAGGGTAGAATAGTGATTACAGAGCGTGGGGGTTGTGGGAAATGGGGAGATGATGATCAAGGGCATCAGATTTTAGTGAGACAGGAGGATTTTAAAAATAGTTTTGAGTTCTATTGCACAGTATGGTGAATATAGTTAATAATAGAATATTGTACATTTCAAAATTGCCCAGGGAATAAATTTCAAATGTTTTCACCATAAAAATGTTAAGTATTTGAGGTGATGGATATGTTAACCAGCTTGATTTAATTATTCTACATTATATTCACAAATTGTAACACCACTTTGTATACCATAAATTTATATAATTATAAATTATCAATTTGCAATTTCAAAAATAAAGTAGGAAGGGGGTTTATTGGCTTTATAGAGCTAAGTCTGAGGTCAATAGGATTAAGGTGTGGCTGGATCAGATGTCATCAGCACTCTGCCTTCTTTTATATATACAGCTTCCCCTCTTCCCTCCCTTTCCGTCTCCTCTCTCCCCTCCTCTCCCTTCTCTCCCCACTCCCCTCTCCCCTCTCCCCTCCTCTTCCCTCCTTCTCTTCTCCCCTCTCCTCTCCTTTCGCTCTGTCGCCCAGGCTAGAGTGCACTGGCGTGACCTTGGATCACTGCAACCTCTGCCTCTCAGGTTCAAGCCATTCTCCTGCTTCAGCTTCCCAAGTAGTTGGGATTACAGGTGTGCACCACTATGCCTGGCTATTTGTGTGTGTGTGTGTGTGTGTGTGTGTATTTTTAGTAGGGATGAGGTTTTACCATATTGGCCAGGTTGGTCTCGAACATATGACCTCAGGTGGTCCACCCACCTTGGCCTCCCAAAGTGCTGGGATTTACCAGCATGCGCCACCATGCCCGGCCGCCAATGACTTTTACATTAACACCTCTAACCCCCTAAGCATTTCTAAGCATTGTCTATGGAACTCTTTGCTTTTATATCTGATATCCTACTTGGCAATTCCACATGGACATCTAAAAGCCATCTGAAAATGAACATGACCCCAAACAGCACTCCTGAATTCTTTCTCTATTAAAACCGCTCTCTTCTCAGTTTCTCCTCAACTTAATAGTTTCACTATCCATTTATTTTCTCAAACCAAAAAATTCAGCAGTTCTCCTTGATTCCTCTTTTCATCACTCCTATGTCCACTTCATCAGCAAGTTCTCTCAACCCAATTTCCAAAACCTATCTTAAATCTATCCATTTCTACTCATCACCACTACTACTGCCCCGATCCTTGTCACCACCATTTCACCTTCTAGCTCCTGTCTCTATGTTCACATTTGACCTCTTAGAATTTGATCACCATGCTGTAGCCAGAGTGACCTTGAAAGTGTGATAAGTCATCATTTGCGGTGTAAAATTCTCCAGTAGTGTCCAAATGTACTCCAAATTCCTAATCCCAGTTTTAAAAACCTTAGATGGCCCCTTCTTATTATTCAGGCCTTACCCACTTGGCTCTCTCTTTCTCTCTTTTTTAACACGCTAGATTGATTTCCACTCTGCATCTTCACACTAGTTGTTCTCTCTGCCATTCATTCTAACGTGTGACCTTGCCATGTCTATTTCCTTCTTCTCATTTGGATTTCAGCCTGAATGGCAGTGAGAACTTCCATATCTAAACCTAAAGAAGCTACTAATCACTCCCTAAAATGTTGCTCTGTTTTAATTCTCACTACAGCCCTTATTAACTCGTTATGTTTTTATGAAATAATTTGTTTGTTACCTGGCCAACATGGTGAAACCCTGTCTCTACTAAAAATACAAAAATTAGCCAGGCATGGTGGCAGGAGCCTGTCCCAATTAGAAATTAGGCTCAATGTGTGCTTAGATATTATCTGCCCTGTTTGTCTCTGTATCTCAATAAAGAATGAATGAAAAACCAGAGATTTCTTTTGACAAAAATTATATGTGAAGGGACAGCTGTCTGCATTCCCAAGGCTCCTTTTCTTAGGCCTTAGGTGTCCTAAATCATTAAAAATCCCAGCCTAGGCTAGGGGCGGTGGCTCATGCCTGTAATCCCAGCACTTTGGGAGGCTGAGATGGGTAGACCCCTTGAGGTCAAGAGTTTGAGACCATCCTGGCCAACATGGTAAAACCCTGTCTCTACTAAAAATACAAAAATTAGCCAGGCATGGTGGCAGGTGCCTATAATCCCAGCTACTTGGGAAGCTGAGGCTTGAGAATTGCTTGAGCCCAGGAGGTAGAGTTTGCAGTGAGCTGAGATCACGCCACTGCAGACAAGCCTGGGCAACAAGAACGAAACTCCATCTAAAAAAAATAATAATAAGGAATAAAAAAATCCCAGCCACTAGCCTTTACCTACCTCTGCTCTTAACCTTGGCTTTCAGCCAATCAGGAACCAGTTCTCAGGACTCCCACGTTCCCAGTTTCCCTAGTTTCTATTCCCCAAGTGTCCCCGGTCTCTGATTTAATAGGCCTGGGTCTCACTGTCTCGGGGCTGTCGTGAAGGAGCCAAGGGAAAGGCTGAATGTTGCGTAAACATGAATAGAAGAGCAGCCCTGGAGATGATGAAAGTGGCTGTTTCAGGGGCCGGAGGAGAAGGGAGAGGAAAGAGGGACACACCAGAGAGCGTAGACCAGGAGAGGGACACCTGCTCTACTCCTCTCCCTTTCCTTCCCTGCGTCCTGGTCCTCCATGCAAGATGGGGTTAAAAAAATCTGTTCCAAATCTTTCCCAAGACAATCTGTGGGCAGAGATCTTAGGAGACGTAGAGGTAGAGAAGAGGGCGTGTATCAGTGGGAGAGGGAATCAGGAGAAGGGGATCTCCCACACAGAGGGGACATGTTCAGAGGCTTGCCCTGGAGGGGCAACAGAAGGACTTTTCTGATGTGTGGGATGAGCTGGATTTAGTGGGGTGGACTGGGCACACTGGATGAATAAGGTCAGGTCTACCCGGGAGCACTCAGGACAGGCCCAGTGCTCAGCTCCTGCATACTCTCTTTGTCCAGGGCAGCTAGCTGCACTTCAGCAGGGCCCAGGGTGAGAAATGCTCCCTCTTATACGGTTCCCTGGCCACTTGGGATGCAGAGAAGAGGGGTCTCAAGGTCCCGGAACCCTGAACCCCTGCCCTTCGGTGCTCTGTAACTGCTTCCT